AAGCTTGAAATACAAATAACTATTTATTAAAGTTTTAGTCAGTCCAGAATAACCAACACTTCCATTTGCTTTTCACTGTGCTACTGCATGTAAGTTCATAATCCAAAGGCAAAAGCCTGCATTTTAGTTAGCAGAGTTCTTTACTGCCTTCTCACTGCCCACTTCACGAGATGCATGACAAATCACTGGAGGATCCCTCACAGTGCCGTTCTCATCTTACATAATGAGAGTTTTCATTCCTGGAGTATCATACCTTCCAACTTGTTTTCTCCAGACCAAGGGATTTTGAATTCTGTGGTCTTACGCAGGAATTGCAGATGTTTTATCCACTTTAATGTCTTTCGTATAGCAGGGTTATTGATAGATTTGCAGAATTTTGTAACATTAAAGGTCTGGGTTTGATCTCATGCAAGGAGGTGCCATTTCATCTGGGTGGAGTGTATAAGATATAGTTACTGGCTTCCAAAATGTTATTTCTAATTGAAATATTCCACAGCTTGGCTTCAAAACTGCCCTTTTAGTAGTTTCTGCTGCCCTTCTAATCCAGCCTAGTGAATCCTGTCCTAGGTCTCCAGTTGTTGTTATCTATGTCACAGAGGTCTGGATCTATTTTGTAGATACCTAAGCTTGTTCTTGCACACTTCTGGTTTATCAGCAATTTGTGTAGAATTCCTTATCCTCTTCTTTTTTCTTAGAATGTCTTAGTGCTTAAACTAATAACAGTAAAAAGGAAAGAAAGATGGAAAAACGAGAGAGAGTAATAAAAGAAAGCACACCACCACATATTCCATTAGATAGCAATATGTGTAGTCCAGGACTAGTTGTAGTAGTTTCGGTTGTAGATGGGCTACTGCAGCTTGTAGTTTTAGCCAACTTCCTGACTTGTTGAAAAGTATTTATAGTTCTTGAGAAGTATTCATAGCATATACTTTATATTTGTAGCTATAATAAAACATGCTGCTGTAAGAGTTTATTGGGCAGAAATTCTACAGGCTGTATAAGTAATACACCCTTGTAGAATTCTCAGCACATTGTGAAAAAATAACTTAATCTTTTGAAAGATCATCCTGCCTGTTTAAAGACAGTGTGAATTAAGCTCTGGTTTTCTTATATACCATTTACAGGATCATCGAACAACATAAATATCTGCCTGTTTATAAACAGGTCAAAGCTTGAAAAAGTCCTGAATGTCAGTGTTGTTGTTTGCCTCCCAGAATATTTTTCTGGGGAGTTCTTTTATGTTCTGATTCAAATTTATACTCTCATTATCACAGATGTATAGTAGGCATAGTTTAGGACTTCATTGACTTTAATGTAGTGTTCAAAGTCAGTAAAACTCTTCCTTAGGTTACTGCAGTTTTAAGACAACAGCATAAACTAAATGCTTGGTTTTCATATTTTAATACTTTCTTATTTGAATTTCTTGTTTTAATAACTGAAATTTGATGTACTCTAAGAATAAAATAAAATATTCATAGTGATGTTTGATTTTATTTTTACAATCTCTATAAGACATGTTTATAGATGTAAAGGGGTTGTTTTTCTTCATGTCTGAGGGAAAAGAACAATGTAAGTGAGGCAGGATCACTGTTGGTTTGTTTCATATCTAAATGAGAAATATGGAAAATTGTACATGGTATAACATACAGGTATGGAATATGCCTTTGACCACTTGGGGTCAATTGGCTTATCTAAGTTCCCTCTCAATTCCTTGGCCATCCTCACTCTACTGATTGGGGGCAGAGGTGGGATGTGGGGGGAAATCAGAAAGACTTGACACTCTGGAAGCACAGTTCAGCGATAGCCAAAGCTCTGGTATGTTATGAGCACTGCTCTAAACAAAACTGCACACTACCATACCAGCTGCTATGACAAAAGAAAACCTCCACACCAGTCAGTCCCAGTACCTGAACTTGACACTTAAGTACTGGCATGGTTCATCTCAGTCTATTTTTGCACTTGAATATAAATAAATCACACCAAAAGGATAATCTGAGTTTTATTTGTCTGGAAAACCTAAACTTTATAAAGTTTATTTGGGAATGAAGCAGAAGGACCTTCCTCTAATTAATCTTTTTAATTTTAGTAACTTTTTAACCAAGTTGTGTTAGCTCGAAAACCCTTGACTTTTTCTCTTTTAACAGCATAGTTTTAACCCAATGAAACAAGAAACTCCTCTTATTCCAATCCCTGTTTAAACTTGATGGAGGGGTTATTGATGAAAAAATATACTGGGAAGTAATTCTTTAGTGGGGTTGTCTTCATTAAGCATGTTGTAGTAGTACAAGTCTGATTTTTTTCTGTATTTTACTACTCAGACTTATTTCATGTCAGTCATTACACACTTCAGGAATTGTCTGGAAGATTATTGTCTTTATCAAGAAATTGAGGTTGCACTCACCCTATTCCAGTTTAATAGCACTTTTTGTGACTTAGGCTCTAGACTGTAGTGTCTGTCTTTTTGTGTTGATTCACGTAATTTTACTGAAGCTAGAGTGCTTCTGTCTGTGCAGAGCCTGTCTGCATTCAATCTGTTGGATTCTGCTGAAGGAGTAAAGAATGACTACCTAGAAAGGTCACTCAGAAAAATGAAAGTCTTTATATACACAGTAGGCTCTATGAATACTTTGTTTCTGAGACCCTGGCAATTTAATCTTGCTATACAATCTAACTTCCCACTGCTGAAAATAAACAGAGAAAATATGATAAGTATCCAAAAATAGTGAACAAATTGATTTTGTGCTTTAGGTCTCTGTCAGTAGCATAAGAACAGTACCACCATATGAAGCTACTGAAAGTATTTTGAAAATTAATTAGTAGTTGTGAGGAACTATATAACTTCAGTAATAAACACTTATGTGAACAGAAGTCTAGAAGAATACTGACAGTACTGTCTTCACAGCAGAGTTTTAACAGAGTACAATAAATGCAAAGACAATAATGATGTGAAAGCAAAATAGCGAGTAGCTCCTGACTGAGGTTTGCATTATTTGGAATAGGCTTATTCCAACCCTATGTGGAATAAGCTGCAATTCAGGAGGGTAAATATCACATATAAATACATAATTTTATCCTAAATATGCTTGCAAGATAGAGCAGATGGAAGCTTCTTAGGCAACTTTAATTTCAGCATTTCTAGTTTTCTGAAAGCTTGATTTTACATTTTTGTGTAGTTTGTGTTTATTTTTTATTTTCTCCTTTTCACTCCTTCCCTTTTTTTCTTGCAAATATATTTTATGTGTGTCAGTCACAAACATTCCACAGAAGCAGGTAAAACAAAATATTGAATTTGCCTTTTCAGTTAGAAAACATGCTTATAACCAAATATGTACATCAAAAAAATAGCTAATTCTTGTTAAATATTTATTCACTGGCAAAAACTATTGCATGCTTGTGTATTTTCCCAGGTTATCCTTTACTATTAAAATTTTATATTCTATTACTATAGGATTGAGAAAATTGAAACTTTTTTGTTCAAGATTACACATTCCATAACAAGCTCTATGTAGTAGATAGGGACAGGCGAACGGAAGATCTCGGGATGTGACGGAAAGAAAGACCCCCATCCCCCTCTCCTCCTGCAGCACGTTATCCATTACCCCAAAGAATGTAACCACACCTAACCCAGTAGTTTTCCACTCCTGACTAACCTTAGAGACCCTACCAAACCCCCTCTGACGTAGCAAAGTCCCCCAAGACTATTTAAACCCATGAGATAAGATAATAAATGCTTTCGACCGTCCACCACATTGGTGTCCAGCGTGTGTTGTTAGCCCGAGTGGCCCAGGGGAGACTGGGCTGCCGTGCTGTTCCTTGAAACCAGGTCACCTTGCCTTCCCTGAAGGCAACAGCTCTAATTTATTTATTTCCTTTTCAAAAACAGGTATCACTGTTTCATTTTGCACTTTTTGTTAGAAAGCCCAAAAATACCTGTCGTTTTCCGTGTGAAAATATTTGTATAAACATTACTTGACTTAAGGTAAATACTTTAACATGTATCATCACTTTCTTAAGAAACATTATTTGACAATTCAGCTATAGCAGTCGAGGACTCTTACCTAGCTGTTAACCCAGTAGGCAGAGGTTATTTGCCTCACAGTTCAGGCAGCAGAGCAAAAGTGCAACTTCTCATTGTTCCAGTACACTAGAGTCAACAATGGTTTTGAAATATGTAATTAGCAATTAGATTAAATGTGCTTATTTTTCACTTAAGTGGATCAAGTTAAACTCCGCTGGCTGTACAGTGAAAAATTACTCTTCTGTAAGGAATAGAGTAAGATTCTCAGGATAAAAAATCTTGAATTTCTACTGCTGTGCAAAATAATTTTGTCTCGAGTATAAAACATGTTTCATTGTTTTCTTTCCTCTAAGAGTGCAGCTGAAGCCTTGTAATGCCACTTTTCTGTGCCTACCATTGAATTCTTGTTTCATCCAGACTTTTACAATGGTGCTTTTTGTATTCTGATAAATAAACACAATCAAAATAGCATTTTTGAAGTTGTTCATCAGCGATAGGCTCTTAGTAGTGATGAGCAACTACTAAAAATTATTTTCTTTCTTCCTACATGATATTTTTCTATGTATTTTTATCACCAGGAAAAACAAAAAGACTGGATTCAAATGGCTTTAAATGTAAAAAAATATTGCATATATATAGAGAGAAAAGTAACTAGTTTTTTTTTAATTGAGAATTGCAAAATTCAGAATCTACTTCAATCTACACAGGGAATAATGATGATCCACAGTTGTACTTTGACATTAGGTTCATCCAAGAAATAAAGTATGCAGGTCACCATCAAGTTAAATACTTCAGCCCTAGGTGAAGCTCTGGCTATAAATGTGCCCCTCTGCCTCCTGCCCATGATCATGAGAGGAGCTGGGGACAGGGGGACAGCACTCATTATTTTTATGAGTTAAGCCAACTACTGTCTTCTTTTTAGGTTGTTCTGGATAAGGTTATTTCCTAAAGTGAATATATTTATATATATTATTGATTGTAGGATGGAATGGGAAATTTGAGAGTCACTAAAAAAGGAATACGACTTGAAGGAATATCTGAATTTCTACTTCCACTATATGTGAGAGAAATCCATTCCCGAAAGGTAGGTATTTTTCATCTTTATTTCTTAATTTGCAGCTGAAATAAATTGATCTCTTCAGTCTCAAACTACAAGGTTTAATTCTTGCACCTCCTAGATTAGCAATCAGTAGAGGTTTGCTTTGAGAATATCTTAACAGTGAAAGCTTCCTTCATATCAATTTTTTTTTTTCTGAAACCTTGATTACTTTTTAAAAGAAATGTTTTATCATTAAAAAAGGAGATTCAAAGCATGTATATTTTATGCTTCAAATGACCTCAGCACTAGGAATGGAACATTTGACTCTCATTTGATGTAAAGTCCAGATAAACAAGAGTGATGATAAGTTCAAAATTCAGTGAAATAAGGAAATGTTTTGTTCTTTTTATCACTAGCTAGCATTATTTCTTTTTCTTTTTCATTATTTTTAAATTTTAATTTTTGTTTGGGTTTATTTTACTTATTAGGGGAAATGCTGCTGGACTGTGTCTAGGATTTAATTTTTCAAAGCAAACTCTTTAAAATGTTGTTGAAATGAAATTCTCATATAGCATTATGTTATTACAGAGAAAAAAGAAAAGCAAGAAATTTTTAACTATGGAACTTAGTTAGGTCATTTTAACTGTTTTGTTTTTATTCAGTTATGCTGTCTATATTAACATTGTCAATTAATTTTAAAAAATATTGAAATGCTGGAAAAATCATCTTTTTTACTGTAAGAGTGTTTACCTATGATTTGAGAAGAATGTTATGCTGGCTTTCAGTCAATAATTCTGAAAAGAATTATAGTGTGCATACTGCAACATTTGACAGGAATCATAAGTATGTTGACCCTAAATTCCTTTGTGGAAAATTTTGTCTGTTGAAATCTGTCTTGAAAAGTCTTGAGTACATTCATAAATGAGATGACAATTTCCCATTTCTCCTAATTAGTTTGCTCTTGTATTAATAAATCCTTGACATAGTCTCTTCATCCTCCTGTTCTATAAAGCTAAGATCTTTCAATGCTTGATAAAGTAGCAGTATTGACCTAGGTAATGAAAACTTTTATAATATTTAAATAACTTTGCAGGGAGCATACTTTTCATTCAAGGCTGCAGAACATTACTTATGATGTGTGCATATTTTCCATATTTCCCATATTTCCCATTTCTTTTCAGTGAGTGGACAGTGTGATTTGGAATATTTTCTTGCCCAGTGCTTCATACTGCAGAACATTGGTTCTATTAAAGAGAAGATGCAAACTTTTGTTTCAAGTGATAGTAATGAGACTTCAGTAGGGTCCTAATTTAATTTAAATGCTAACAAATCTCAGAAAAAAAAATGCATTTTATGCATATTTAATGCATAATTATTGTAAAGGAGAGGATGGAGAATCTACCAGATACCCAGCATAAGGTTCCAATAGTCCTGTGAGGCTCAAGAAAAAATTACACTTGTCTTTAAATATTCTCAAGCCAGCAGAAAATAGAGTTGATCATTTACTGGACAAAATAATTCAAGTAAAATATTTTTGGAGTTCGAGGTCTACTTATATGTATTAACTTTAAGGCACTTGTCACCTAGATAAAAATGTAGTATTTAGACAGGCTTTGCTCTCATCTTGCAGCACTTTTGAACTAGCTTCACTTTCCAGTCTTATGCCATCTTGCTCAGTAGTTGTGCTAAAGTTCAGCAGCTTCTGTATGCAAATAGGAATGCCACGAGGGAATGATGAAAGAAACCTCTGGAGCTGTATCCAGCTTAGCAGTAGGGTTTTTTATGTCTCTGCGGGGTATTTCTACAGCATTATGGCATCTGCATGTGACATGAGCTGTTTTGGCACTTACAAAAGTGGCCACAGTGCTGTTGAAATCTAAAAGTAAGCTAGGTTTTCTGAGCTCTCATCACAGTCAGTAGTGACCAAGTCAATACTGATAGCAGATTCTGAGCAGCTACCAGCTATTAGTGTTTACTTTGGGTAATTCAGACAGAAATGCTTTTGTCTGCCTTTTCCACTGAAGTAATAATGATTTAAGTTTGATGTATACCGGAGCTAAAATATTCTGTGAAATCAACAACTCATTGCTTATTTTCTAGAAGGAGAGCTAATGCTTTAAGCCACATTCATTCCCATATGAAAGAAGACATCCATTAAAGTGACATTTTTGATTAACTCCTTGATAACGTATTCAGCAGTAACTTTGCAGGACCGGTGTATTTCCCCTGCACTGCAGACCATGGTTTGTGGAACTGCCTCTGAGGGAGCTCCGGGGGAGGCCAGACCTTCACTGTTCTGCTCAGCACAGGGCAGAGTGGGGTGGGCAGGTCAGTGTTAGCAGCGAGGTACAGCAGCAGCTGTGCTGTGCTGTGACTAGGAGGCATTATTGAACATTTGCTGGTGCTACTAAAGTAAGCTCGATCTGAAAGTGGCAAAAGTTTATTGAGGGGGAAGCATTTACCTCCGATAGTGAATTGCTACTGATAAGAGTGCCCAGCAGTCTGTTGCGTAGGTAGGCAGAGCTGAGCTCTCTGCTGCTGCAGTTTAAGGGTGAGAGTGGCTAGATTTGCTAGTGTAAAGCTCACATATAAGCATATGATGACCACTTGCCTGCTGTATACCTGGATGCCCAAATTTGTGCAGTGTTAAATGCAGACTAAAACTGCCTTTATCAAGAGAATGGTATTGAACCTTGTATACAGGTTGAAATACTGCCTTTTATCTTGTGGTTGCTTCCTTGAAACCCTGAATATTCAAAGCAAGTGCTAAAATACTTAAATCTAAGTCAGCTGAAAAAAAAAATGTATGTGAATTCTTAAAAACAAAATAAAACTTCTAGTGACATTTACTTCTGACAGTATAAAACTTTATTTCCAAAGGTAGTAGTGAAAAAGCCAGGTCTTGACTAAAACAAATATTTTCTTTTGTGTAGAAGCTGTGTAAATGAGAAGGTTACTCAAAGTGTGCTGTTCCCCTTGCCCTGCTCCTCTTTGCCCTTTGCTTTGCCCTTTTTACCATACATAGTTAGTGGTGTCTGCAGAACTATGGGTTCCTACCTCCAGTTCTATGTTTTTACAGAAAAGAAACTTCTATATTTTCATCAAATGGTTTCTCTGCATGTCAGAATTTTAAATGATGCATCAGACCCTGGGCAGATAAGGGCTCATTTGATCCTGAATTGATATCTTTATAACCCCAAAACCAGGGCACGTGTACTCTATGAAATGAACCTTACAGAGAATTACATTTTGGCTATGAATAGTCTAGCTATATACTTTTGATCAAATTGCTAGCCTGAAACCAGCAAGTTTCATCCAGATCATGTTATATTTCCCATGTTTATATCATTTGCATTGATATGATGCAAACTTTATTCTTTATAGTGTATCTTTAATGAGAGGTATGAAATCAAATAACACATAATGCAACATCCTGAATTATTTCAATATTTCAATTCTTCTGAATTAATGTTTCTGTTATCATGCTACTACATCCATACCGCTGCACTTCAGAATGGAAACAATCAAAGTACAGTCTTATTAGTATGTCATATAACAATAAAAGTAGTTCATGGTGTTTTCTTGACAATGTATTCCTGAGTTTATTAAACTTTTTAATTTAACATACAGTTCTTAAGGGCAGAAAAAAAAATCCAGTCTTCTCTTTGTTAAATTGTTTCCATTACATAAAAAAGAGTAACCCATTGTCCCTTTAAGTGGAGGGATTACTTTGGGCTTTTTTTTCACAATTAATAAGGTTAAAATGTATTCTCTGAAATTAGCATCTGTTTTCCAGAGATATCCTTAGAGAACATGGAATTTAGTAAATGAGTTAATAGTCTTTGGGCGAATGTCAAGAAAACAAGAAATAGTGAATGTATATTAACTTCTTACTGAACATGAGAAACTCTGAAAACTTCGTGTTTATCTAGTATTTTAAAATATGTGATTCTATATGAATTAAGAAATTGTAGGTGGAGTTCAAAGCAGGATTTCTTCCAGGTATTTTTCCCTCCAGATTTTTACTCAAGAGACTGAATATCTTTGTAAGTATTTAGAGAGCTTTATTTTACATTGTTTTATTTCCAAACCTGGATCAATCTTGATAAAAGCAAATCTTCAATATATTTCTTTTATCGCTGTTTCTCTGACTCTATATAATAATCAAGATTTAATTAGCTTTTGCTAATTTCAGCAAAATAATTGCATATATTTAGGTTTATGTTTGGGCCTTATATGCCTTTGTGACGACCTTAAATTCTTTTTCTGAGACAATGGCTTTGTTCTCTTGGATCGAGTTTAAGGATGCAGCATAGGAGATCACCTCAAAAAGCTTGAACATACACTCTTCTTGTTCATTGAGACAGACTTCTCTTTTTGCAAGACCAGAAGTCAGTGCTCCTTGCCTTTACTAATCCCATGCTCATTTTGTCCCAGCTGGCTTTTTTTCAGAGGCCTCTGCCCCATAATCTTGCTAGAAACTGATGTGAGACTGACTGGGATATAGTTTCCAAAGTCTTCCCTCCTTGCAAGATGCTCATACTCTCTTGTAAGGGCTTGGCAGGGTGGGGGTTTTGTTGATTTTGGGGTTGTGTAGGAGGAGCATATTCCCCCATATTCCACTCAGACTTGTTGTCCCAAAATTTCAAGGCCAGATTTGCTATAAATACCCTCTTTTCTGTTCTGTCAGATACCCCTCTGCCATGCAGTCAAAACTAGTTCAAGAATCATTCACTCCTACAACTACTGAGGAATACAGGCATCAGATAAACTCCATTTAGGAGATGTCATTGTATTTTTCTTTTCTTTTGTAATATCAAAAAAATCACAAAGGTACTCAAAAAATCTGCTGCTGTTATTGCACAGGATGAAATGCAGTACTTGTTTCTGTAGTGGCATGTCACAATCCACTCAGATAAAACTTGAAATGCTTCCCAGTTAATTTTTCTGATACCTGCTCTTCAAACCTTGCCCTTTGGGATCACTCACCTGTCACTAAAGATAAAATCACTATTATGGCATTATCCTGGTTTTGAGAACTAGGA